TCGGTAAAAAAAATAAGATTACTCAGTGCTAGTTGGGGACTCCATGCTTACCTTCACAATCTAATCTTGGACTCTAGGGATCCACTCTGGCCCTATCCAGAATGTTCTCAAATATGAGTAGGTCACTGCCATCTCCCTTCTTTAAACCCTTTATGGCTGCCCACTGGTTTCCGGATAAAGGCCCAAGGTCCTAACAAGGTCTGCAGTATGCCCCCACTTCCTGGCCAAACCTCCCCTAATCAGACTTCACAAAAGTCACGTTCCATTCTGTTTGTCCAACAGTCACAGAGCACTCCCGCAGCCTTGAAAAAGCCAAGTCACGCACTGTTTTCTCCCCCAGTCCTGTCCCTACACCAGGGGACAGAAGGCACATAAAATTTATAGTACCCATAACTGGAGGAAAGCTTTTTTTTTTTTTTAAAGATTTTATCTATTTGACAGAGAGAGAGACAGCGAGAGAAGGAACACAAGCAGGGGGAGTGGGAGAGGGAGGAAAGCTTTCTTCATGGTCTTTATCACTAGTTGTAGCTACCTATTTGCAAGATCATTTGATTACTCATAATGTCTGTCTGTCCTGAGCAGTGCGAGTCTTAGACCCCTGTGACCCAGCCTAGTGCTCTGGCAATAGAAGGTGCTCGACAGATATCTGTGGAGTAAGTACACATCAATGACGGGATCAAGGAAAGGGGCTGGGGGAGAGGAAACAATGCAAGGAGGAGAAGCAGGCACTTTACTATAACGGCAGTTAAGACCAATGATGGCTTCTACTGTTTTATAAGGTAATTGGATGTTGTGTGTCAGATGTCTTGAATGTCCGTAACCTCAGTTAATGGTCAATAACCATTACTATTGATAATGTAACCCTAGGGGCATCTGGGTGCTCAGTCATTTGAGGGCCTGAGTCTTATCCTCAGCTCAGGTTCTGACCTCAGGGTCATGAGTTTAAGCCCTGTGTTGGGCTCCACACTGGGCATGGAGCCTACTTAAAAAAAAATGTAATCCTATTACTAGTTATTATGAATAAACATAATAATAAAATAATAAAAATCTACATTGGGGAAGAGAATTTGAAATCTAGTATGAAAAGTTGCATTTGCTATAGCATGGTTTACAACAGGAAAAAACCTGAAAAGAGCCTTAATGTCTCCAGCTGGAGATATGGTCGTAAAGATTCTGGAATGACCACGAGTTATACAACAAGTAACAGTGGTATTTACAGAGTTAATGCCATGGAACATGTTTAAATCATAATAAGTGAACAGAGCACAGAACGTGAAATTGAAAATAGAGAATAATTTTAGCTTTGGGAAACAATATGCCTAAGTGCCAGGTACTGTTGAGGGAGACAGAATGAGAGGGGTAGGGTCAGAGGGAGAGGCAGACTCCCCGCCGAGCAGGGAGCCCGATGCGGGACTCGATCCCGGGACTCCAGGATCATGACCTGAGCCGAAGGCAGTCGCTCAACCAACTGAGCCTCCAGGCGCCCACTAAGCCTTTCTTTCTGAGACAGCCCTGATTCTGTCCACTTTCCTGAGGCCAGGCTCCCTCCCCAGACCCAGGGGGAGGATTGTAATTAGTCTAATAACCTCCTCTTGGCAATCCATTTTTCTTGCCTGTGGTACATGTGACAGTTCTGGCCAAGAACACACAACAAGCTGTCGGGCTTTCTCGTGATGAAGGCCCCTTGCTGTGGACAGGTGATGCCCTAAGGTGGCAGAGTGGGGGGCTGGCTGGTCAACCGAGGCCAGAGCCAACCAGTCTGTGGTGTGAGCAGCACAGCGCTGCGTGAAGACGCCAACGTGTACGGATGCATAGGGTGACCAGTGGTTTTACTCATTTCAGGGTTTCCTACAATTTCCAAGTTTTCTACTAGAAAGCCTCTATCACCCCAAAAATGGGGGGGTCAGTAAGAATGAAAAGATAGGTAGAAATGGCACGAAACTTTCCCTTAAGAAGCTCCGAGTCTAGTCATGGAAGCAAATGATTCAAATACCACGTGATGACACCGTGAGACGCCACGTCACCTCCCGGCTACTGGCACAGCTAAGTGAAAAGCCTCACAGTATCTAAACTGGGTGAGGATTTGGAGCAACCGGACTCTCGGGCACTGTTGGCGGCGACATGAAACGGAGCTGCCATTTTGGGAGCTGTCTGGCAGTTCCTTCCAAGGCCAAGCATACGGCTACCCTCATACCAGCAACTATACGCCCAGGTACCTACCAAGGAAAATACAAAGAAATGGCCACAAAGAGACTTCTATAAGAATGTTCAGAGCCAGGAGTAAGAAGGGGAAAGCGGGAGCTGTTGCCTAATGGGTACAGGGTTTCAGATTTACAAGAGAAAAAGTTCCAGATGTTTCACAATGCAAATGTAGGTAACACTGTTGCACTGTATGCTTGGAAATGGTAAGACAGCAAATTTCATGTGATGTGCTTTGTACCTCAATAAAAGAAGAAAAAAAATATTCATAGATTTATTCTTAAAAGCCCTAACTGGAAACAAACCAAATGTCCGTCACGGGGTGAGTGCATAAACTGATGTATATTCACACAGAAGGCAACGTTTGAGCCCAAATGAAAGAAGCCACACACAGAAGTACGTGTTGTAGAATCCCATTTACGGGAGGTTTTAGAACAGCAGAACTAGTCTATGGGGATGACAGACCTTAGAGCAGGGGTGGCCTCTGGGGACAGGGATGGCTAGGAAGGGGCATGAGGGAACTCTCTGGGGTGATGGAAATGTTCTATTTTCCTGATTTGGATGGTGACTGGGCATATATTTGTCGTATTTGTCCATATTTGTTGAAATATTTGCTGTCTATTGTATATAAATGTATCGTAATAAAAAAGAGTCGTAGGGAAACAGTGGGCTGAGGGAACTGGAAGGAGCTAAACTCATCCTCCTGGCTACACGCCGAAGAGCTGCCAGTAGGACAAGACAGATCAGCAGCCACAGATAAACACCGCCCTGCGGAGGGGCACGGGTATGCCAAGAACATAACATTGTGAGGATTACACATACATTTCAACCTCAGTTCCATAGAACAGGCTTTGATATTCTAACAAATTACTTTAAAAAGGAAAAATATATGATATATACACTCATGTAATATAAAATAAAACATAGGCCTTCATCTAATTCAAACTGATTTTATTTAAAACATTACACAATATTTTCATCAAATATTTTGTTAAAATTGGAAATAAAACTGATTATTAGCTTTTTAAGGTAATTAAAAAAGCAAAACATAAAATACTATAATACAGAATGAAGAAAAAACATTTTAAAACTTACAAGCAAAGGAAGAAATCAGAAAGTACAAAATTTGTCTACAGAATAATGAAAAATAGGTTTTGTATGTTTAATGAAAAAGCCAAAAGTAGATGGCAAACAACAAATTAGAAAAATATTCACAGCAAATAAAGTTTTTTGTTTGTTTTTATCATGAGCACATACTCAGGTTTTTTTTAGGGACTTTGTATAATTTATAAAAAAAATAAATGCAATTAAGTGAATAGACAAATATTAACTGAGAATTTTAAAAAATAGAAATAAAAATGATAAGCATATGCAAAAAGAATTCAAACTTAATCATAACAAAAGATGCATATTAAAGCCAGACAATGTAGCAAAGCTTTTCCTTTTTTAGTTAAAATACCCAGTCTGGGGTAGGCAGGCTGGGGCAGGCACAGAGAGCGCTGGGTGTGGACACGGGGACTCACTTTTCTGGAAGCGTGTCAGGACTACGCCTGCTCCGTGCACCGCAGCAGGTGGAGGTAAGTGTGGGCTTAAACACTAGCCCCCACCTCCCCAAGTCTCCAATGCTACCAGAACTTGTTAAAAGAAGAAACAAAAGGGAATGGGCGTGGGTAGGGTTCCTGCAAGGGAAGGCACAGTAACCTGGAAAGACGGACGTGCTCTGCGGGGTGCTGGGCACAGATGTGGGCCTTCCCTGGGAGAGGCCGGGAGACCAACACCTGAGCAGCCCTGTCCTGCCAGCTCCCCCCCGCCCCCAGGCAGGGCAGCTCTGTGTCCCTGGGAGCAGTGGTGGGTGCAGCAGAAGCACCCTGGCCACAGGAGGGGAGAGGAGGAGTGTGGATAGGCATGCAGAGCGTGGCTGCATTTGGGCGACAACCAAACGACCACATATAGAGGGAGGTCTATATATCAATACTGTGTATACACACATGGGTATGTAGATATAATTTCATTTCTTTAATGGCCACAACTAAAATCCTCCTCAGGAAGGTGAATAACACAGGCAGTAGGTCCACCTCTGGAGGGTGAGATGAGCTGCATGGAGGGGTCTCATTCCTTGCAGAATTTTCTAATTGGGATTTTTTCCCCAAAGATTTTAAGTAATCTCCACACCCAATGTGGGGCTAGAACTCTGCTCTCCCCCAAGAGTTGACCGTTCCTCTGACTGAGCCAGCCAGGCGTCCCTCTAATTGGGATTTTTCAGCGTTTCTTGAGTGTTTTGGTATTTAAAAAGAAAAAAAAGTTTTAAAGTTCACAACCCTGTTCCCAAAACTCCAGTCGAAGAATGAGTTATTTATAAAAGGCTTAGGACAGTGCCTGGCACCTTGTAAGTGCTCAAATAAATGTTTTAAAAATAAATACCCTACGGAAAAGGACTCAAACTATGGAAAAAGCCTCCACATACAACCTATCACAGTTCAGAAAGGGTTGAGTATGGAGGGAAACATTTCAAGGGGTGGAATTCCATGTGGCTTCTCCTTGGGGCCTGACCCTTGGCCTCTGCAGGGACCTGGGGAGAGGTTCTGCCTTTCCAGGGTGGGCTCGCAGTACTGGAGTTTACAGAATTTACAGTGAAAACTGTATCTATCGTGCAGACTGGAATCCTCATCAACACGATGTCAGCGGTTTCTCCCTGTGGGCAGATTTTCATTCATTCATTTAATAAACATTTATTAAGCACAAAGCATGTGCAGGCACTGTCCTAGGTCCTAGAGACACAGCAGTAAATGAAACAAAACCTCTTTTCCTCGTTATTTTCATGAAGTTGATGTTCTAACAAGGAGAGATAGGCAATAAACAAATCAATATACATCAACTGGTTATAAGTGCTAAGAAGAGAAATAATGCCAACTAAGGATGGGAGTGACCAAATCAGGTGTTTACCCATGAGCAGGAGAGAAGGGGGCCTAACTCACTGATGGAGGTCAAGGACGGCTTCTGGGAGGAGAAGCATAACCTGAGTCCAGAAGGCAGTCAGTCGGATGAAGCTGTGGGGAAGGGCGGATGCAACCGCCACACAGGTGTGGAGGGGTTAGGAGGCTCAGGGTCAGTGTCAGTGCCACAACACAGCAACAACTCGACGGACACACAAAACCAGGGGGATTCGTTCCAGTCGGAAGGCTTTGGAAGGACCTCAAAGAGGTGGGATATGAGCATGCGCGCACATGCACACAGTAGTCATCCCATGTGGTTATGCAGGAGCAGGTTACTCCTTCATCCCAGGAGTGGGCCTGTGACACAGACCTGACCAACCATGGCATCCGTGTCTCCTTGGCCACTGAGATTAGTTTACAATGCAGAAGAGAACTGTAAAGTCACCCGCTTGGGGCTGCCAGTGCTCAGCTTTTTCAGCATGTCTACAGAAGGCAGCAGGAGAAAATGAGGTCAATAAATGAGAAAGGCAGGGCCAAGAGGGTCTTCATGACATTCTTTGAGCCTTATGATCCAGCCATACCTGAAGCTCATCTTTGGACTTCCTAGTTAAATGATCACAGGAGGTTGGGGGACTCTTTTTTGCTTAAGTTTATACTGGGTTTCTGCCATTCACAACTGGATTAATATACCCTTTTTTGGGCGAAAGAGCTTCACTGTGTATGTCGTGATGATGGGGTACAAGGGTAATGGAGGATAGATTATGTGAGAGTTTCTCCCATTAAGTTTGATAAAGACAGTGAAATAGGTGGCTTCGAGGCATCCGGGAGGGTACAGAAGCAGCAACGACAGGTCCTTAGGTGTGTGTGTAAGTTACAGTCTATATGGATGAGTAATATAAACCTGTGAGTTTATATAATCCACTCTATGGCCCTAAGTCATCTTCAGAGAACTAACACGGAACAGCTGATCAAGGACACCAAGAATATCTATTTAAAACCAGTTTACTATTCCCACATTAATGCACATCAGTCACAGGTCTTTCCCAAATATTTAATGTTGCCACAAACTTAATATTTTGAACTCTTTACCCTATAACCAAACAATCATCCAGTGTTCTCTAGAAAACTTAATTCGGACAGCTAGACCCATTATGGTCCAATTCTAACAGATGTTAGAGCAAAATAAACTGCTGTTTCTCAAGAGGTCACTACAGATGCCCGAAGCTCAGGTCCTCTTGTTCACATATTTGAAAACTCTAATCGGTTGGTCACAGACAATACCAATCTCAGACTAAAATACAGCTTCAAATCTTTAAATCCATGAACAAGAAAGATGCTCACATTACACCATTACCGTATAAAGCTAGAACAGCTAGCTAAGGAAGCCTTTGTGTATTAAGCAATGGGTCTCATTCCAGCAGAAATAACAATACCTCAAGATTTTTTCTTCTTTCCACAGGTATTTACCAAATACCTACTGTGTGCCCACGATCCCAGCACTGTGTGCCCATGAGCCTTTCCTTTTTCTCTGGGTGAAAAGGCCAAATCTCGGTTCACATCTGGACAATGCTGGGTAAAATGTAAAATAAAAGATAATTTATCACTGAACAATTTGAAATATTATTCTTTCAGCAAATACTGGCCCTCTGAACTCTGCTTATGCTTCCCTTGCCCCATTACCCCAGGTTCACGATGCTAGGACTGTAGTCACTGAGAAAGAACAAGCCCGAGAAGCCTGGGTTCCAGTTCCAGTTCTGCCATTAATTAGCGTCGGGATTTTGGCCGAGACTAATCTTCTGGATCTGAACAATGGGGATATGCTTACTTATTGCACTGGGTTGCAGGAGGTATTAAATCAGTGGATGTAAAGTGTTCTGTACAGTGTGAGGCACATACCAAGTGCTCAATAAAGAGAAGCTGTAATTAAACGAGGCCTTAACCTCTTTCCAGTTGTAAAATTTTATGAGGTCTTTAGTAGAGAGATTATGGATTTTGAGATTCCTCCTTCTACTACCCTCCCCCCCCACCGCCCCGTCTGCTTCATCACATCTGGCAGAATGGCAAACACCCAAAATAGCAAAAAGTTCCCCCCTTCTCAATCAGCTGTACCCATGGGAAGCCCTCAGCAAGGGAGCAAGTTCAAGTGCCTGGGTGCTGTACCCTTACTAATAATAGCTGGACGCCTCAAATTCTGACAATAGCCCTGCGAGGTGGACATAATTACCCTCATTTGGTCGGTAAGCGCGAGCGGGAGGAGTTAACAACTCACTGAATGTGACACCGACGGCAAACGGCAGACCTGACTCCAAAGTTCACGCCCATTTCCACTCTTACTCCTCCGCTTCCCATACAGCAAGCACGCAACTGTTTGTTTAAATAACGAACAAGATATTTCGGGAGCTCTGCAACGATGGGAACGTGCCTTCTTTGGTAAGGAGAGAAGTTGGCACCATCACTCTCGTTCGCTCGGCAACCTGAGGCTCCTGCGTTCTGCGCTCCCCGTCACCTACCGCCCCCCTCCCCGGCGGCAGCACAGGCCTCTGGGCGCGAGCGTGCGGCCCAAGCAGCTCAGCCTCCGCCGTCTCTGCCAAACGCCTGCTGGGGCTCCCCCGCGCTGCACTGAAGACCCAATGGCAGGTATCCCTTTTTGAAAGGCAGGTCTCCCCAACTCTGACATCACACGAACACCTGCGGCAGGCTTACCCTCTGGCGGGGCCCGAGAATCACGCCGAGCAGACGGAGGCCGGAGGACAGGCCACGGTGACGCAACTAGGCCTCCTGCAGCAGGGCCAGGCCGAGGCACCGCGCGGTGGCCGCGACCCGCAGCGGGCTGTCCGCGGCGGACGCCCACGCCTTCCCCGCGGAAGGCACGCAGGGGCAGCGCGGGCTGCCCCGGGGCTGCGGGGCGGGCGCAGGAGGTCCCGGCGGGGAGGCGCAGGGCGGCGCGGCCCTGGACGAGCCCCAGGAGCCCCGCGTCCAGACGCTGTCCGCGCCGAGGGCAGCAGAGCCGCTGGTACCCAGCTGCTGGGCTCCGATGGCACGCGCGCCAGGGCATCCGCGCGCGCACCGGGCGCGCCCGGGCACACACGCACGCGCGCGCGCGCGCACACACACGCGGGCGCACGCGCCCGGGCGCACGCGCACGCACACCCCCGGGCCCCCTCCCCCCAGCGCCCCCCTCTCTCAGCGGCTCGGGTCGGGAAGGGGGTGCGGAGAAGGAAACAGCCTCCTTACCGGGTGCGGTGATCCTCCGGGCCACGGCCCGACCCCAGAGGCTGCCACGGCCGCGCACCCTCCCCGCCCGCCCCCACCACGTAGCGGCGCCGCCGCCGCCGTCGCCGCCGCCGGGAATCAATGGCCCGGTCGCCGGGTGGTGACGTCACGGCGCGCCGGGCGTGGGCGGCCGCGCCACGTGACTGCCGCCTCTTTTGTCTGCGTCGGGGCGGCAGGGGCTGTGCTGCCGGGGGGCGCCAGGTGCCGGGTCGGGGAGGCCGCAGGTGGGCTCCCGGCCGTGCCTGACGCGCTGGGCCCGAGGCCTGCGCGTGTGAGGGTACCGGGGGCGTCTTAGAGAGCCCCGAGTGCACGGGATTAATCGCTAAGACGGGGCCCCTGAATGGCTCGTTTAAATTTGTTTCAAAAGTCCCGCAATGAGGGGCGCCTGGGGGGCCCAGGCGGTTAAGCCTCTGGCTCGATCTCAGCTCAGGTCTTGATCTCCGGCTCCGCCCTGGGCCCCAGCCTACTTAGAAAAAAGTCCGCGGGTGAACGTCCCCTTTAACCGGCCGCCTCGCCGTCGGACCCAAGAACTGAAATCGGCCAGTAACTTTCCTGGAGGGATACGTGGTCCCGGTTCTTTGCTACTGCCTCCCCCTCCGAAGTTATTTCCGTCCTGATTTGCGTTTACTCTTACATTGCTTTAACTTTTCACACTGACGTATTAAGCAATACAGTGGTTTCTGTTTTCGTTTTAACTTCTGTCTAGCGTTCTGGACTTTCACAAACATGTTACTGTCTTAGTTCATTCGGGCTGCTTTGACCAACTGCCACACATTTAGAAAGGACAGAAATTTATTTCTCACGGTTTTTTTTTTTTTTTTAAAGATTTATTTATTTCAGGGCACGAGTAGGGGGAGGGGCAGAGCTCAGAGTTCCTGATGGGGCTCATCCCAAGATCCTGAGATCAGGACTTGAGCTGAAACCAAGAGTCTGGTGCTCAACTGACTGAGCCCCCCGGGCGCCCCTATTTCTCACAGTTCTGAAGGCTGGCAGCAGGGTGCCGCATGCTCCTCCTCCGGGTAGTAGACTTCTGATATGGCAGAGGCCTAGGGATCCCCGTGGGGGCTCCTTAAGCACCCAGTCCCACTCATGAATGCCAGCACTTCCTAATACTATCTCACTGGGCACTAGGGTTTCAACATACGGATCCTGGGGGGACATAAATATTCAGACCTAAGATTCATCCTTGCATTTCTTTCATTGTCACCGCTACATAATGGCCCATTATGTGAGTGTATTATTATTTATCCATTCTCCAGCTGCTGAACATCTATGCAATTTCTAGTTTTTTGCTATTTCCAACAGTGCTGTTATGAGCGTTGCCTTTTGGTGCTTCTGCACAAACATTTCTCTTGCGTATATTTACCTTGGAGTAGAATTGATGGGTCTTGGGTCCGTCAGTGTTTAACTTTTTATGATAGTATCATACCTTTATTCAAAAGTGGTTATGCCAGTTTACCCTTCTACTGGCATCCATATCTTCCCTAATGCTTCGGACTTCTTGATTTGGGGCAATGATATGGGAGCTAAATGGTGTCTCATCCCAACCTTATTTGGCCTATCCCTGAGGTGAAGCATCTCATATATTTATTGGCCACCTGTATAGTTCCTTTACTGTGAAATGTCAGTGTCTGGGGCTGGAGGGATTTCAGGGCAGATGAAGGAAAAAGATATGACCAGGAGGTGGCAGTAACACACACAGGTTTTCTCTGGGCTGGCTTTGACAGATTTGTATGTGGGAAGTCCCTCACAGAAGTAGACAATCCGGAGACTCTGGGGCATCTAGAAGGAGAGGAGGGCAAGGAAATCCCCAGATGGTTAAGGGACCTTGCTCTGCAGCCCAGCCGGAAGTCTCTGAGTCAGAAAGCTCCAAAGGGCAGCAGCAGTTTGGGGTCTTTATAACCACGTGGTTTATCTATGACTAGCAGGTGTTGGACACAGTTTCATGAAGTATGCAAAAGAGGCAGGCAGCTCTTAAATGGCTAAAACTCTGCTTATTGGGGGTGTGTTTAAAACAACTGGATGTGTAAAAATTTGAGTTTGGTACTTACTGGCAGGTGTTGAGCTTATACAGGTCCCAATCTGCTGCATAGAAATAAACAACCTAGGGGCCAATATACAGAGTCCATCCTTGGCTCACCTTTATAATAGCCAGTTCATGTCTTTTGCTCATTTTTTTTTTTAGTGGATTGTACTGAACACTACTTTATTAGTTATATGTTGCAAGTTTCTTCTCTCATATGTGGCTTGTCTTTTCCTAATTTTATTTTATTATTTATTTATTTTAAAATTTTATTTATTTTTTGACAGAGAGAGACACAGCGAGAGAGGGAACACAAGCAGGGGGAGTGGGAGAGGGAGAAGCAGGCTTCCCGCGGAGCAGGGAGCCCGATGCGGGGCTCGATCCCAGGACCCCGGGACCACGACCCAAGCTGAAGGCAGACGCTCAATGACTGAGCCACCCAGGCGCCCCTTCACTTCCTATTTTAATAAATACATGTTCTGAACTTCAAATTTATAAATATTTATTCTGTTTTTTTCCCCATCCTAATATATATTAACTTACTCTTCTAAAAAATTTAGTTCTGCTTTTGACATTTGAATTCTTATGTTCTCTGGAATTTAGTTTATGGTTTTACTTTTACATACAAACGACTCACCCTCACCCAGGTTTGTTTTTTCGACTAGCCCCGCTTTTCCCAACTGATTGTCCTGCCAACTTGGTCATATATTAACATTCCATTTATGTACGGCTGTATTTCTAAACTGCCTATTCTGTTCTACTGGAAAATTTGTCTATCTTAGTGTCCACACAACGCTGTTTAATTACCACAGTTATATAAAAAGTCTTGATTATTTAGTAGAGGAAAGTCTTCCTTATTTTTCTTCTTCATCTTCTATCTGGGCTATTCTTGGTCCTGTCTGTTTTCCATACATATTTTAGAACAAGCTTCTCAAGTTGCACAGACACACGGCACTAAACCTGTTGGGATTTTAATTGGCATTGCATTGAATATACAGATCAGTTTGGGTAGAATTCACATCTTTCTGATTCTGAGTCTTCCAGTTTATAAACAAGGGATAGCTATCTGCTTATTAGGTCTTCACTAGAGTCTTTCTAGTGAAGGTGTACTGTTTTCTGTATCCAGATCTTGCACATTTTGTGTCGGGTTTATTCCTAGATACTTTGTAGTTTTTGTTGCTATTGTGATATCCTTTAAATTTACACTTTGTAATAGTTTGTTGCTAGAGTAGAAATAGTTTTGTAAATTGATATTTTATCCAGCCGCTTTATTGGATACAACAATTTGTCATTGATTTTAATAATTTGTCTATTTCTTCTAATCATTTGTTTATTGATTCTTTTGGGTTTTCTCTATAAACAATCACTGTATGAAAATAATGTCAGTTCCAGTCATTTTGCTTTTTATTTTTCTTAAAGTATAATACTGGTTTGGACCTCTAGTATAATGTCAATAGAAATGGTGATATCTTCTTGACATTCTTGACTTGGGCACTTTACTTGATCTTGATTTTTGAAAAGGAAATTTAGAATTATTTTGCAGGTTTTTTGGTAAATAAATTTAGAATAGTATTTTTTAAAGATTTTATTTATTTTTTTGACAGAGAGAGACACAGCGAGAGAGGGAACACAAGCAGGGGGGGTGGGAGAGGGAGAAGCAGACTCCCCACTGAACAGGGAGCCCAATGCGGGACTCGATCCCAGGACGCTGGGATAATGACCTGAGCCGAAGGCAGAGACTTAACTGAGTGAGCCACCAAGGTGCCCAATTTAGTCTTTGATTCTATTTTACTTTTTGATTTCTATTTGTTCCATGTATTTTGTTTCTGGTTTTTTTCTTTCTTGCGTTCTTATTTTTGGATTAACTCAATTCTTTTTTTTTTTTAAGATTTACTTATTTATTTTAGAGAGAGAGAGAGCATGGGGGTGAGCAGAGGGAAAGAGAGAATCTCAAGCAGGTTCCATGTTGAGCATGGAGCCTGATGTGGGACTCGATCTCATGACCCTGAGATCATGACCTGAGCTGAATCAAGAGTCTGATGCTTAACTGACTGAGCCATCCAGGCACACTTAACTGAGTTCTTTTGGAACGTTTTTTCCTACTCCATGTTTTTCTTTCTTAAGATTTGGAATTATGCTTCCTCTTTTTTTAGTGGTTATTCTTGAAAGTTATCATGTATTTTAATTTAACAAGGTCTAAAGTTTAAACACAAAGTTGACAATTTCTTCTGGACAGTACAAGAGCTCTAGAATACTTAGCCCTTTGCTTACCCCTTTTGACTAATACAAAACTGTTGTCTAATTTTTTGTTTCTTTTCTTTTTAACTGCACAGATCAGTCATTGTCATATGTTTGTTTGGGTTCATATACAGAGAAAGAAGTAGAGCTAATATGAGAATGCGTTTACAAACTAGCTGCCACTTAGAGCAACTGGGATAGCTCAGTCTAACGGGACCATCCTCCAAGAAGCCATGTAAAGTGTGTCTCAGGAAAGTCCGCCTGGGGGAATATTTTAAAGATATCTTCAATCACTCAAAACACTCTTGGGTAAGGAAGAGAGGAACTTTCCTACAGACTCCTGTTTTCCTTCTGTCATGAGGGTTAACTCCCCCTCCCTTCTGGGTTGTGCATGTGTGTCCTTTGGCATCTGATGATTCAGTGTCATTGGGGTGGCCCCAGGACAGAAGGAAAGGGGCATCGTAGTGTTGGCAGGGAGGAGGAGGTC